TCTAATAGGCTAGTATTGATTGATACGAGACAATAACTTAGTCAAACATCGAATACGATACTTAATATGAGGTAAAGGTAAGTGTTGGTATCGCAACACACGTAGCCGGACCAAGGTGCGGAGTGAAATTTTCTAGATGCCGGTCCAAGGATTTAGAAATACATAACTTATCAGTTAACATGCAAGATACTAGAAAAGAATTGTTATAGTTAGAGTTATCAAGTTAGGAACATGTGGGGAACACGTAAACCCTAGTTACTTTTATTAATTGATTAAACTCCAACATTTGAATCTGTTAGTGGTCTACTTTTATTTAGCTAGTTATTTTTATTCATTTAGAAATAAAAATCCCCCTTTTATTGTCTTTGCTTTCCAAGGAAATAATTGACTAAATAGTAGTAATAATAGATTGAAGTTAAGTCTGAACTATATTCCTCGTGGGAATGATCCCAACCTCATTAGTTGAGTTCTTTACTTGATACAACCGCTTTACTTCTTATTTGAAAAGTAAGTTTGAGCGTATCAAATTGGCAGTCAATGCAGAGAAACCATAATGAGCATTCACTTTGAAAATCCATTCAACAACATCAACTCGAGTTGAACAGAGAAAAAGGTCACTCCCAAAACTATCAAAACAACAATGGTTTCCTTTTTCTTTAATGAAGAGTGAAAGAAGCTCTTCATCTTTCCAAAACAAATATTGTTCCAGTCGAAGAAGAGGTAAAGATAACAACAATAACCCCTTCTCCATCATCTAACTCTTCTTGTTCTTTACTTAACTCTTGATTTTCACAGTAAACTTTTCTTATTTTTTACTTAACTCTTTTTCTTCACAGTAAAGAACAAGAAGAAGAGAACAGGGGGAAAGCTCTGGTAGTAGTCGGTTTCAATGAAATGTCCAATCAAAATTTCTTTATACTCAAATTAATTTAGGTCAAAATTTGAAAAATACTTTTTGTGTTATATAGTCTTCTTTTAAGTTACATAGTATATTTAAATTCAATCACCGTTAAAAAATTTCTTGGCTTTTTTAATTTGTGCATGCACAATAATTAATATAGGCTGGTCATTCGGTCCCGTTTCAGTTTTTTTATTTTTCGGTTCTTGTACAACATGTACCGAACACCGAATCAAAATAAATCATTCCACTTTTATTATTTTTGTTTGATTTGTGTTACAATTCAATTTTTGTTAGTTCGATCTTTTTATTATAAGATCTTTAAAGTTTACAATTTTTTAATTTTTTTTCATTTAGAAAGTTTCACTGCTGGTCGTCGATCGGTTGCATAAATTGGAAAGTGGTCGGCTGTTGATCAACGCCGGTCTTCCGAGCCCAGAAGTGAAAAGTGTTTTCGTTAATGGTGAAGTAATCTGAACAAGAAATAAAAAAAAGAGGGAAACCGATGAGTGACGCCTGAAGATTGAAGTGACGAGTTGCAGCTACTGTATAAAGAAAGAAAATTTTGAAAAAAACAAAAAGTAGTTTGAAAATACTCTTTTGTACTCTTTCCTTCACCTAGTTTGCTTTTAAATTTAAATTATAATATTTATTATTTACTATTAATAATTAATATATATATATATATATATATATATATATATTATAATATTTGGTTTTCGGTTTGTAATTTTTATTTTTCAGTAAATCAAAATACCAAATATTTATCGAAATACCGAATAACACAAATTACAAATCAAATCGAAATATCAAAAAATACAAAATATATACCAAATATTGAACTGAAAACTAAAATACCAAAATACTTCGGTTTGAGCATCCCATAATATTTATTATTATTATTATTATTATTATTATTATTATTATTATTATTATTATTATCATGGAATATGACTTTTGAAATTCATCAGAAATTTTAAAATTTTAATTATTCTTTTTCATTTGAATTTTGGTGATCGGTTGCATAAGGTGGAAAGTGTTCGTCTGTTGGTCAACATCAGTCGTTGGAGCCCAGAAATTAAAAGTGTTGCGGTTACTGGTAAAGTAATCCGAACAAAAAATTAAGAAAAGTGGGAAACCGATGAGTGACGCTTGAAGTGACGGGTTACAGCTACTGTGTAAAGAATGAAAATTTTGAAAAAAAAAATAAGTAGTTTGAAAAGATTGTTGTATACTTTTTCCTTTTAAAAAAGAAAATTTTAGTAACAAAACAAAAAGTTTCAAAAGACTCTTGTGTAAAGAAAGTAAATTTTGAAAAATACAAAACTTTGAATATACTCTTGTGTACTATTTCCTTGACCTAGTTTACTTTTAAATTATAATATTTTTTTACAAAAAAAAACTTACTTTTTTCTTTTTGAATTGGAGGTGGTAGGGGTGGGGTGGGGTGGGGGGAATGAAATTTCGAAGTTGAAAGTATTTTTTAAAAACTAAATTTAAATTTTTGTAGGGTAAATGGCTTAGTAGGGGGGTGGGTTGGGGGTTGGATCGTGACATCGTGACATCTTGAAAAATAATTGATGCAACAAGAACTAGTTTGAAAAGACTCTTGTGTACTCTCTCCTTGACCTAGTTAGCTTTTAATTTAAATTATAATATTTATTATTTACTATTAATAATTAATATATATATATACATATACATATACATACATATATATATATATATATATATATTGAACTGAAAATTATTAACCAAATCGAAATATAAAAAATAAAATAAAAATATATACCAAATATTGAACTGAAAACTAAAATACCAAAATACTTCGGTTCAAGCATCGCATAATATTTATTTATTTATTATTATTATTATAAATATTTTATGTTTTTAATGGAAAAATGACTTATCAAATTCATCAGAAATTTTTAAATTTTAATTTTTTTTCATTTAAATTTCGCTGCTGGTCGTTGATCGTTGCATAAAGTGAAAAGTGGTCGGCTGTTGGTTAATGTCGGTCGTCGAAACTCAAAAGTGAAAAGTGTTGTGGTTACTAGTAAAGTAATCCGAACAAGAAATGAAGAAAAGTGGGAAGCCGACGAGTGACGCCTGAAGTGACCGGTTGCGGCTACTGTGTAAAGAAGGAAAATTTTGAAAAAAATAAAAAGTTTGAAAAGACCCTTGTGTAATTTTTCCTTGTAAAAAAGAAAAATTTAATAAAAAAAAAAGAGTTTGAAAAGACTCTTGTATAAAGAAAGTAAATTTTGAAAAAAATCAAACTTGAAAAGACTCTAGTGTATTATTTCCTTCACCTAGTTTACTTTTAAATTTGAATTATAATATTTTAAAAAAAAATTCAATTTTTTTTCGAATTGGAGGTGGTAGGGGTGGGGTGGGGGGAATGAAATTTTGAAGTTGAAAGTATTTTTAACTAAATTTAAATTCTTGTAGGGGTAGGGGGCCTAGTAGGGGGTTTGTTGGGGGCTGGATCATTGCATCTGACATCTTAATAAAATATTTGATGCGACAAGAACTAGAATTTAGAAATTGACTTTGAGCTTATCCTTGCAGAGAGTAAAGGAATCACATCATAAAAGAAAAATTGAACTGGTAGCAAACCTTGATCAGGATCAATCAATATTGTTGCAGATTGAGCGCTTGAGAGGTTCAATGGAAATGATGCAACTCATGAATGAGGAAGGGGACCTCGAAGTTACGAAGAAACTACAATCAATTCAAGAAGAAATCATGAAGAGTGAATAAGAACTTGATAGGTTTGAAACACTGAATCAAACCTAATTATAAAGGGAAGACGTGCAAATGATGAGGTGGAGGGACACATCCATCAGCTTGCCAAGATTTTACATTAAAGAATATGAATGAATAGTTAAGGGACATATTTTATATGCATCCATATTAATCAAAGCAATTTTTACCTTTATGCTTGTCAAAATCACTGAATTATGTATCAGGATAGTAATAAAGAAGAATGTCTGCAAACCACTGAAGTCAGGCGCATTGCGTGTCCAATTTTTACCTCTATAATCTAGTATTTTTAAACCTTTTCCTACAGTTCAAGGGTAGAATTTTAGCATCCCATAATATTTATTTATTTCTTGTTATTATTGTTGTCATTTGGAGTTTATATATCCCTCAACTTTGTCATTTGGAGCTGATATACCCCTCGTTATAAAAAATGACTCATATATGTCCTTACCGTTATACAAACGGCTCACATATACCCCTGCCGTTACAAAATGACTCACATATACCCTTCATTTAACGGAAGTTACAAAATTAGTTTTAAATTTATATTTATTACTTTGAATTTTTTTTAAAAAAATATTTAGGGGTATATATGATTCTTCTATCAAAGTTCAAGGTATATTTTAATTTTTTTCATGCATAAATTATTTTTGGACTTCTTTTATTAAAATTATTTGAGTTTCTTATTCTTATTTTTTTTTTTTCTTTCATTCCTTAGTTTAAAGAAAAAAAATTTAAACTATTTTTTTTGTGTTTATTGTAATTTAATTTCGTATTTGAAGAAAAAATTTGGTCATCTACAATAAGTTTTACAAAAATATTAGTGAAACATAAATAAATTTGATTATCAAAATAATAATTATAAATTAGTCATTGAAACAAAAAAAAAGTAAAAAAAAATATGTTTGACGAGGATTAAATTTACTCATATGGGATTATATTTTTTAGAAAAAAATAATAAAAATTTAGATTTTTTTTTCATTTCCGTTAGAGGAAAAGGGTATATGTTTGCCATTTGTTTACAAGTAGGGGTATATATGAACCACTTTTATAACAAGGGGTATATCAGCTCTAAATGACAAAGTTGAGGGGTATATCAGACCCTTTTCCCTTATTATTATTATTATTATTATTATTATTTTTATTACTATTATTATTATTATTTTTATTATTATTATTATTATTATTATTATTAAGTTTTTAATGGAAAAATGAAAAAAAAATTCATTTAAATTTCGTGCTGGTCACTGATCCATGTGTATTTATAGCTGTTGAGTGTTTGTGCTCAAAATTCACACAATACTTGAAGCTGTAATTTTATAAAGACAAAAGAAAGCAGCAGATGAAGAACAAACTCTATTGCAATATATCTAATGACAAAAGAAAGCACCATATAAAGAACAAACTGTCTGGTTTGAAATTTAGAGCAAAATGAAGGTAAAACTAATGAAGTTTTTGCAGAATCAGAACTCCTAGTAATAGTTCAGCTTGCGTACTAGGATTAATCATGTTGATGACAATCAACTCTCAAACTTCTCACGCGCATTCCACAACTTCATTATGTGTGCAACTCCTTCTTTCAACCCCATTCTCTCGATACAGATAAAAGCACCTCTCTCCCTTAAACCTTGCGTGAAAATACATCAAAGCACTAATTAACTAGAGCAAAGGGAAAAAACATGAAGATTGCACATAAAATTGTTGTTCATACAGTTTTGATTGGCAGGTTGAGACTGAAATCATCTTTTCATGTTATAGAAATACTTACAGCAAAATCGCATTGCTTCATTATAAATAAATATTTATGAGGATGAATTAAAAAGGTAAAATGCTCACATGGATTGCTTCTTTACGGGCTTCCTCCACCTCATCATTTGCACTTCTTTCCTTTATAATTAGAGTTTGATTCAGTGTTTCCAACCTATCAAGTTCTTCACTCTTCTTGATTTCTCTTTGAATTGACTGCAATTCTTCTTAGCTTCGAGGTCTCCTTCCTGATTCACGAGTCGCATCACTTCCATTGAACCTCTCAAGCGCTCAATCTGCAACTGTAGTGATTGCTTCTGATCAAGGTTCGCTGCCAATTCAATTATTCTTTTATAATGTGATTCCTTTACTCTCTGCAAGGATAAACTCAAAATCAATTGCAAAAGCTATGGAGTATTATGTTTTCAAAGAGGTTGTATTAAGCCAAAAGTGCACAGCATACCTTATGATCATCAGCCATTTGCAACATTTTCTCATAAGCATTTTTCTGCTCCTAAATTGCCCTTCTCTTCTGCAGTGAAAGAATTTCAAAAAGCTATCAGGTTAGGCATCAGAAGACATCCAACGACCTGGTATTCGAATTGATTCATGTAACCATATTATCACAGAAGCAAAATGTTAGCTGGAAGGCGGTGATGACCACATGATATGCTCGAGTAATTCCTTTAAAGTAGATAAATTATGTCCAATATCATTAAAAGGAACAGCTGCAGTATTTTAGAGACCCAAAGAGTATCATCGCTTTCCCTTTTTTTGAAGCATCACCTGCAAAAAAAAATGAGTAGTTTTCTGTATGCCCTCTTTTCTTACCATCTCTTTCTGGAAATGTAGCTTTCCGTACTCACTCTCGTTAAGTGCGTCACATTTTCTCAATTCTAGTTCTTATTGCATGAATTGTTGCTTTTGAGCTTCAAGTTGAATTTTGCTTTTCTCATGCTCACGTATAAAATCATTGAGCTGATTGAATGTTTTAGCCCACATCATCTCCATCTCAGGTAAACAGATCATACGACATTAGAGGAGGAAAAAAACAAAAGAACAAGCACAACTTCATGATATGAGTTACAAATTTTGCCAGGTGTATCTTTTAGCATTATGTTAAAAGTGAAGCAATAATATAGAGATATATACTATGTAACTAGTTTACAACAAAGAGGAAAAAGGAAAACACACCGTCATTGTAGTTTTGGACCATCTCCTCCTTTTGATATTCCTTCTGCTCTACTCTGCTTATATTCTTCTTCATATCTAGCTCGTTGGTCAAGGTGTGTAATAGCACTGAATGTTTCCTATTGCTCTCTTCTTGTATTTCATAAACTGGCTTAAGATCTCCATATTTACGGAGATGAGTACCAATTAATGACCCAGCGTTGTAATCTTCATCACGTGCAATCCAAGCATACATTTTCCTATCTCGTCCTCTTCCTGAATTCCAATCTCTCTTCCCATGATTATCCAATTCAAATGCTTTTTCGAATTCTATAGCATTCGCGAATCCCGACCAATCCCCTTTAAATTCAACTATGGCATATCCGATGTGACCCTTGTAGTTCCATAACCGATGAACCTTCATTGGATTAACCCTTTCTCAATCCACAATTTTTTTAGATATGTTCCACCTTTACCTACACAGTTCCCTCCCTGATATTCAACAGGAATGTTGGCTACTATCCCCATCCAAGGAAAACCATTAGATCATCATCTCTTAAATCTCCGTGGTATTTATACTTTAGCTCTTCAAACTCTGAATCAGTGCTCCCACTTTTCCCTGATCTTCTATGAGACATCTTCAACCTGTAATAAGATTAAAAGCTAAATACCAGTTTGTGTTTTGTTGATAACCAAACTAAACTAGTAATGACCAAGAATACTTGTCAAAGGAAATTGAAATGCACCAGAAGCAAAAATGTTTATGAGACAATGACAAATAAGACAGATAAAGTGGAAGACTCAATTATCAAATCTAGCTTGATTTTTCTTCCCCTAACAAAATGTTATTTCTATTACTTGCCTTGCTGCATTGAGTATTTCAGCAACTCTCGGTCGCTCAGAGTGAAAAGTGGAAGAGCAGAAAAAGGAAAATGTGGAACAAGAAACTTCCACATATTATGCGCATGTCCAGGATTTATGGGCCTGATTTATGGCACTACTCAACTGGTATACTAAGAAAGAAGGGCAAGATATATGTAGGATCTCATGGAGCTCTCAGACAACAACTCATTTCTTTTTTCCATGACACTCCCTTTGGTGGTCATTCGGGTCAGTTAGGTACATTGAAAATGCTGTCGCAACTCTTTTATTGTCCAAAAATGAGCTTATGGTTAATGATTATGTGTGTAGTTGTGATGTATGCCACATGAATAAAGATGTTAATAAGGCTTATCCTAGAAGAGGGTACATAGCCTACATGGCATATTAAGGCCTTAGCTTACAATATTACTATGATTAAAAAAATGAGCACTAAAACCAAGTAAGTACGAATGACTCTAAATATATAAGTAGCGACTGCAACTAGACAAACTTATACAAGATAGGAGAATCAAGAAGAAGGCGACTTATCCTGGAAGAGGATACATAACCTTCATGGAATGTTAAGGCCTCAGCTTACAGGGTTACTACGATTACAACAACGATCACTCAAACCAAGCAAGTACGAATGACTCCAAATATACAAGTTAGGTACATTGAAAAGGCTGTCATAACTTTTCTATTGGCCAAAGATGAAACTATTGATTAATGATTATGTGTCCAGTTGTGATGTATGCCATAAGAATAAAGATGATAATGAGGCTTACCTTGGAAGAGGATATATAGCCTACATAGCCTACATGGCAAGTTAAGGCCTCATCTTACAGGGTTACTACGATTACAACAACGAGCACTCAAATTAAGTAAGTATGAATGACTCCAAATATACAAGTAGCGACTACAACTAGACAAACTTATACAAGATAGGAGAATCAAGAAGAAGGCGACTTATCCTGGAAGAGGATACATAGCCTACATAGCCTATATGGCATGTTAAGGCCTCAACTTACAGGGTTACTACAATTACAACAATGAGCACTCAAACCAAGCAAGTACGAATGACTCCAAATATACAAGTAGCGACTACAACTAGACAAACTTATACAAGATAGGAGAATCAAGAAGAAGTTCAAAGATCAAGATGCGTTATCAATACTTGGAAACATCATGTTCAAACATCAAGATGAATAGTGCAATTAACAAAATGTTTGGTATCAATACCAAGAAAAACATCAACAAGGAAATCAAAATATTTGGCAGACTTGTGGTAATTATGCGATAGGATCTATAATATGAAAAAGATTACAATCAAATAGGGATACACCAAACAACTTGAATAGTGCAATTAACAAACATGTTTGGTCTCAATACAAAGAAAAACATCAACAAGGAAATCAACAAGGTAAAACCATTTAACAAGTAAAATGAAATACAAAACCATTTAACAACCATTTCAGCTATAACCATATCACTGAATGCATGTTATTGTTCTTTCCCTTTTAAACATAAATTTAGTAAAGAACCATCACCATGAACACCACCACTAGTATCAACCACCACCATTTAACAAGGAAAGTTAAATACAAAACCATTTAACAACCATGTCATCTACAACCATATCATTGAACACATGTTCTTCTTCTTCCCTTTTTAAATTTAAATTTTAAAACACAAAGCCTTCTTCTTTTTTAACCTAAATCTCCCCTTTTCACATAAAAAATACAAACCCTAACCTAAATCACCATTTTCACTTTAAAAAATCTAAATTCATTCTCTTATTCACTTATAAACTTAAATGTGAAGTAGAACTTGCTCATCATTAAGTTAGATTCCAAATGCAAAAAAAGGAAAATGTTGGCATGCAAACCTTTCTATCTTGTTTTGAAAACTTTTGTTTTGTGTTGAACGGCGGCAGCATAGACGAACGGCGGCAAGGAGATATTCGAAGGATTAAAGAGCAGTCTCTATAAGTATCCGATGGATATTGTAGACTCAAAAATTCATAATTTTTATCTGACTGATTGATGACAAATTGGTCTGACTTTTTAATATTTTTGACTGATTGATGAACAATTGATTTGACTTGATTGAAAACTAATTAATTTCATTTTTCTTTAGTTTATATTATTTTATTATTATTATTTTTATTGAAATATTTTAGTGAAGGATGAGAGCATTTCGAATATATCCAACTAATTAATGAACAATCAGATATATTCAAAAATTCTTTTTTTTTAAAAAAAAAATTATAAGATTTTTTAAATTTTAAAAGATCATTTTTTATACCCAGTTAGCTTAATTTTCTATTTATTAGAAAATTTTCTATTTATTAGAAAATTTAAATTATGTGCAATATAATTTGGCTAGTAGAGTTTCTGGAATATGGGCATTGAACCTCAGTTCTGAATCCGTCGGGCGTCATCTGTTGCCGTTTATTATAACTTTTATGATATTTCTAATTATTGATATAAACGAATAATATATGTATGTATGTGTGTGTATATATATATATATATATAAGAAAAATCAAATGGAACCAAATTTAATATGGTTCGGATTGGGTTACACTTCTTTAAAACCAAACAATAGGTTAAATGATAAAAAAATAAGAAAACATATATGCAACCTTGCTTACTGTCCACTAGAATATGAATACAAAGTTAGTATTGTGTGAATTTGAGCGCAAACAGTCAACAACTAGAATATGAATACAAGGTTGCTATGGATGACATGCTTGAGAAAGAGTCGAAGGAAAAACTACCAATGCATAAAATACACGAGCTTGAAAAAGAGTTGAAAGATAGTAGATATATTCAAATAAATTACATGACTAAAAAAATTGTTTGTCAGCCCACTTTAGCGGCTCTCTTTTTGTTCTTACGATGCCTTTGCAGGTCCAGTACATAATCATTATGTGCTGATGGTATCTTTGAAGTTCGTTTGATCTCCAAAGTTGTTTGTCACCATGTGTGGAGACACAATCCATTGTAGGAGAGGCACAAATGCCATGATCCGAAAAATCTGGATCATTTGGAACAAAAATAGTAATAGTTTGAGGATGATTCAATCAACCTATAACTTTTGATAACACAAAGAACCAAATGGTCCAGTTCAGCAACACACAGAAAAGTAAGAAGATGTACCTTGGGAGGCAAAAACATTTGTCCTTCCATGATCCTGAGAAGATAAAGTGGCAACATCCGTCCTTCCATGATACAGAGAAGCAGCAACAATGGAAGATGTTCCTTGAGAGGCAATATCAGCAGTCATAATGCCATGTTCCGAAAAGAGAAACCGGAGGCAATATTAGCAGTCATAATACCACGATCTGGAGAAGAGGAAACGACATCACGATCAGGAGAAGAAGAAACAACAACATCCGTCCTTCCATGATCCGGAGAAGCAGCAACAGTGGGAAGATGTACGTTGAGAGTCAATATCAACAGTCATAATGCCATGATCTAGAGAAGAGGAAACGACAACATCAGTCCTTCCATGATCCGGAGAGGCAGCAACAATAATTATGTCATCAACATACACAAGAGAGGTGCTATGTGGTTGACGATTCTCCAAATCCTTCCAATTAATGAGGTATGATTTTTCTAACTCCGCAGTAGAAGGAATCAGAGTAGGATGCATTACAACCTATACAAAACCAAAAAAACAAAATTAAATCGTACAAAACCAAACTAAAAATCCGAATGCACACCCCTAACCTACCTACCCTAAAGGATCGAGAAGAGCAACTGATTTTTTAAAAATACCTATTGAACAATCTCATCGACACTCCTAATGAGAGATACACACTTCTTTTTTTATTAGAACTATAAGGTAATTATCGGACACTATCTGATCAAAAAAGGATCCGTCTATTAAAATGTATGATTTGGTTAAAAAATACTTACTTAATCTCTAAGTTATTCAATTATATAGTATAGCTAATTATAATAAAAATAAAAATATATTTAGATAAACAAATCCTTCTTCTAATTATAATTAAAAGAAAAGAAAACAACAATCAAACGTATAAATATTTTATTTATATTATTTGATTAAAATCATAAAAAACTAGCAATAATCTAAAGTAGAAATTATCGAGGTCAAACGAGTCCTGAAGCAGGCATACACCCTATTTTGCCCATTTTCGTTCGATATAGTTCACCATCTTTTTTTTTTCTGATATGGATTTTTGACATCTAAAAAATGCTAAAAGAATTTCTAGACGTCCGTTAAGACCTTAGTTATGGGGTCGGTGGTCTTGACGGCCAAATCAGCTCATTTTCAAGGTCAAATAAGCTCTAGAACAAAAATACCCCATATTTTGCCGATTTTCGAGTGCTACAGTTTATCATCTTTTTTGGTGATCCGATTTCTGACGTCCAACCATGAAGATCAAATCGGTCTATTTTCGAGGTCAAAGGATCCTCGGAGCAAGTATACCCCCTATTTTGTCGATTCCGTTTGCAATAGTTCACTATCTTTTTGGTGATCCATAAAAGGGTGTATGCCTCCTCTAGGGCTTTTGACTTTAAAAATGGTCCGATTTGACCGTCAGGTCATACCCTTATTTAACTTAATTTTCTAATAAGTAGAATATTTGAATAAGGTGAAATATGATTTAGCTCATGATTTTTGGGATATGAGCATTGGGTCTCATTTCGAACTCGTTGACTAGAGTGTACAACAAATCAAACCGGCAATAAGATCAAACCGCAAACCGAGTCAAACAAAAAAAAGATTAATGATTTGATTTGACTTGGTTTCGTATTGAAAATACATAATCTAATTTTTATTTTTCTTTATTTTATATGATTTCATTATTACAACAAATCAAACCAGCAAATGAATCAAACCGCAAATCGAGTAAAAAAAACAAGTGATTTGGTTTGACTTGATCTCGCATTGAAAATACATTATCTAATTTTTATTTTTGTTTATTTTATATAATTTCATTGTTATTTTTATTGAATATTTAGTGAATGATGAGAGGATTTTGAATATATCCGACTGATTGATGAACAATTGGTCTAACTTTTGAAGATATCCGATTGATTGATGAACAATTGGTTTGACTTGGTTGAAAACACAATTAATTTCATTTTTATTTATTTTATATGATATTATTATTATTATTTTTGTTGAATATTTTAGTGAAGGATGAGAGGATCTTGAATATATTACGACTGATTAATGAACAATCAGATATATCCAATTTTTTTTTTAATTTTATAAAAGATTTTTTAAATTTTAAAAAAATCATATTTCATACCCAGTTAACTTAATTTTCTATTTTTCTATTTAGTAGAAAATTTAAATACTGTGCAATATAATTTGGCTAATAGAGTTTTTGGAATATGTTCATTGAGCCTTAGTTCTGAATCCGTCGGGTGTCAGTTGTTGCCATATATTGTAAATTTTATGATGTTTCTAATTCTTGAAATGTTTTATGCCGTAATTTTACCATCTCCAAAAAAATCTCTTTTGAAATGTTCTAAGTATAAAAAAAATACTTAGAAAAGAGTCGCCACTTAATTTTTTAAAGAAATTAAAAAAACTTAATTTAAAAAAGACTCTAACAGATTAAGTCTTTAAATTATTAGAAAAATTGGGTAAGAGGTTCATATTACTACTTTAAGAAGGTATTAGCACTTAAAGTAGCCGCTAACACACTATTATCCTATGACTTAGGTTAAATATTTGACTAACATTGTGAAAAAATAATTAAATATACAAAAGAAGATTTTTTTTTGGATTTTTTGGAAATTAAACTAATTTAATTATGTGAAAGTGATTAAAACTTCTAAAAAAAGGGTTAAGATTAGCACTACCAAAATGACCTTAAGATTAATATTTAAAGATGAGATAAAAATTAAAACTTTTTGTTTTTTAAAAAACATTTTATGTGAGTTACTTGAATTACTTTACAGATGATAGTTTAAATCAATTTGGTTAATTAAATCATGATAAATTAATTTAAATTAATTGATGAATAAATAAAAGTTTTGACTAAACATTATCAAATAAAGTATAAGAAATAAAAAAAAATAAAATTCTATTAAAATAAATTAACATAAATAATATTGCTCATCTTTGGGGAACTTAATTAAATTGAACCAAATCAAATAAAGGGTTAGAGTTAAACAAACAAGTCACAAGAAAATGTCAGTTTCGGGTGCTTTTGCTCTTCGAACTTTTTCATATTCATTGAATATGATGATTTATGATATCATTGCAAACCTGCATCCACAGTAAATTTATTAGTTTTAAATGAACTAATCTGTGTTGACTTCTTTGATTGCTGGTTTTTCCTTTTGCTATCCTTGTTTAATTGCTTACAGCTCCCCGCTTCTTGGTAGACATAAGATAGATCTATATTTTGCACTAACTATTTGATATATGTGTTATGTTTTAATAAAATAACTTCTTTTTTTAATAAAGAAAGTAAAATAAAATAATAATTTAATGGGTAATTGTAAAGTGTCATGTCACATTAAAGCTTAAGTGAACATATCAGTTCATGTTTCGATATATCCAACAAGTCCTTTTAAGTTGGGAATATGAAGTTTGACTTCAAATTTCTGAGATATTGGGGTTCAAATTTTTGACATATTAACTCAGAACTTCTGACAGTACTTGATAGAATTTTTTAGATTTTCTTGAAAATTCTGCCACAATGAAATGCCTTGGAATTTCTCAAGTCTTTGGTAGGAGGATTTCTGGAATTTTTGAGAACTTCTCAAAAATTCTGCCCAACTAAAATTTCTTGTCATTTCCCAAATCTTGGTAGGAAGATTGTGGAATTTTTTAGATCCTCAAAAATTCTGCCTCAGTGAAATGTCTTGTCATTTCTCAAATCTTAGCAGGAAGACTTGCGGATTTTTTGAGAGGATCTCAAAAATTCTACCCAGTTGCCTTTTCCTAATGCATGCCCAATCTTGTTTTACTGAAGAAGGATCTTCAGAATTTTTGAGCTCCTCTAAAAAATTCTTCTCCAGTTTGCATTATAATGGAAAATGGAAATTTTATGGGGTGTATGACCGAGCCGTTGTGGCGCCTACGCATCCTGTTGAAATAGGAATTAAGTCAAACGTAGTTCTCCTTTTGAAAATAAAGAAATGGACAATTATAATAAGAAAATGAACAAGTCTGACATAGGCCGCCAATGTATCTCATTTTTGAGAATTCAGGTCAGATGTAGCTCAATACAAGGATTAAAAAAACTTGGCATAAGCAATTACAAGAAAATGATACAATAACAAGGAAAGTAATGAGATATAAGCTAATCTCCAGACGTAGTATCTCTTGACAACATCTGAGTTGATTGGTTTTGGCCACTCTTGTCCATCCATCTCTGACAGGATCAAGGCACCTCCATGTAACACTTCATGAACAATGTATGACCCTTGCTAATTTGGTACAAATTTCCCCTTATACTCATTTCGATGGGGGAAGATGCGTTTGAGGACCAATTGTTCTTCTTTAAATGTTTGATATCTCACTTTTTTTATTGAAAGCACGAATCATTCCCTGTTGATATAATTGGACATGATAAACAACGGTCATCCCCTGTTCATCAATTAAGGCTAAATATTCAACACGATTACGAACCCAATCAACATCGGTTAATTTGGCTTCTTGAATGATCCTCAATGAAGGTATTTCAACTTTAACGGGTATCACTACTTCTGTCCCATGTACTAGCAAGTATGGAATTGCTCCAATTGATGTTCTAACGGTTGTTCGGTATCCCAACAAAGCATATGGTAACATCTCATGCCAACCTGTATGATTATCAATAATCTTTCTCAAAATCTTTTTTATGTTCTTATTGGTAGCTTCAATGGCTCCATTCATCTGAGGACGATAAGCAGTTGAATTTCGGTGAGTAATCTTAAACTGCTCACATATCTCCTTCATGAAATGACTATTGAGGTTTGCACCATTGTCCGTAATAATGGAATCAGGTAGTCCAAATCGACATATCAAGTTGTTACGATCAAAATCAGCTACTACCTTTTTTGTCCCAGATTTATAAGAACTTGATTCCACCCACTTGGTGAAGTAATCAATGGCAACCAAAACAAACCTATGTCCATTAAAGGCGAGTGGGTCAATTGGGCCAATGACATCCATCCCCCAGGCCACGAATGACCTAGGTGATGCTATAACATTAAGTTCGTGAGGGGTACCGAAATTAAATCACCATGTACTTGACATTTATGACACTTTTGCACAAATATACAACAATCATGCTCCATAGTCATCCAAAAATAACCATCTTGAAGGATCTTCTTTACCAAGGTAAGACAGTTCATATAAGGTCCACAGGCTCTAGCATGTACTTTCTCAATAAGTCTTGTAGCTTCCACGGAATATACGCACCTAAGAAGTCCTAAATCTGGAGTCCTCCTATAAAGCAATTCTCCACTTTGAAAGAAATTGCTAGCCAATCGACGTGTTGCCTTCTTCTTATTGGATGTTGCATCTTTTGGATAAGTTCCAGTCTCCAGTTTCTTCTTTATATCACAATACCAAGGCTTTCCATCTGGTTCCGCTTCGACATGAGAGCAATGAAAGGGTTGTTCCTTTTAAATATATTTCCAGATGATTGATGTAATTCTGATCAGAATGCTTGATCATAGAGGAAATAGTGGCAAGAGCATCGGCAAATTCATTTTGCAACCTTGTAGTGTGCATAAACTCTATCTTTCAAAATATTTTGCACAATCATTGCACTAGTTTTACATATGGTACAATCTTTGGATTTTTCACGGCCCATTCCCGTTGAACCATGTGAATTAACAAGTCTGAATCTTTAATTACCAGCAAATATTGGATATTCATGTCAATAGGTAGCATTATGCCAAGAATGCAAGCTTCGTACTCTTCCATATTATTGGTGCAATGAAATCAAAGTTTTGGCGCCATAGGGTAATGTTGACCGGATTTTGATATTAGAACCGCTCCAATTCCGGCTCCTTGATAATTTATCGCTCCATCAAAGAATACTCTCCAACCAGGGTATGACTCAGAAATACTTTCTCCTATGAACAACCATCTTCGTTACGGAAGTATATTTTTAGTGGTTCATATTCCTGATCAATTGGATTTTCTGTAAGATGATCGACCAATGCTTGTCCTTTTACCGCTTTTTGAATAACATACACAAAGTCAAATTCGTTCAAAAGCGTCTGCCATTTCGCCAATTTTCCAGTTGGCATAACTTTCTGGAAAATGTACTTCAACGGATCCATTTTGGAAATAAGATATGTAGTGTATGACGACAAATAATGCTTTAACTTTTGAGCGATCCAAGTCAAATCACAACATGTTCTTTCCAATAGAGTGTATCGAGCCTCATATGGAGTAAACTTCTTACTAAGATAGTAGATCGTATGTTCCTTCTTTCCTATTTCATTATGTTGTCCTAATACATATCCAAATGCATTCTCTGAGACAGACAAATATACTAACAACGAAACTTCCTTCTCGTGGAGGTACCAATGCTGGAGGATTTGTCAAATCATGTTTGACAGTATCAAAAGCTTTTTAACACTCTTCATTCCGCACTGTCAGTGCATCTTTTTTCAACAACTTAAAGATAGGCTCGCAAACCATAGTGGATTGAGCTATGAATCGACTGATGTACTTCAATATTCCAAGGAAACTCATAATTTCTTTCTTAGTCTTTGGAGGAGGTAAATCTTGAATCACCTTGACTTTGGTAAGATCAAGCTCAATACCTCTTCTACTTACTATGAAACCCAATAATTTACGAGCTGATACTCCAAAAGCACATTTAGTAGGATTCAACTTCAAGTTGTATTAACGCAACCTATCAAAAAACTTCCTCAAATAGGTCAAGTGATCTAAACTCTCACGGGACTTGATAATTACGTCATCCACATACCTTTAATCTCCTTATGGATCATGTCATGAAAGATAAATCTCATGGCTCTCATGTATGTGGCTTCAACATTCTTAAGACCAAATGGCATTACCCGGTAACGATAAACACCCCAAGGTGTAAAGAAAGCTGTCTTTTCATCCATCAAAATCTGATGATAGCCCGCAAATCAATCCACAAATGATTGCATTTCATGCTTAGCACAGTTGTTAATGAGAATGTGGATATTTGGCAACGTAAAATTGTCTTTTGGACTGGCTTAATTGAGTTCTCTTTAATCAACACATATTCTAATTTTACTATCTTTCTTAGGCACTGGAAGAATATTGAATAACCAAGTTGGATACTTAGTAACCTCCACAACTTTGGCTTGAATCTGCTTGGTAACATCTTCTTTGATTCTCAGACTCAATTCTGGCTTGAACTTTCGAGTTTTCTGCTTTATCAGATTGAAATCTGGATTGATCAGAAACTTGTGAGAAACAATATCTGTGCTCAATCCGGGCATATCATCATAGGAACAAGCGAATACGTCGATATACTGCTTAAGCACACTGATGAGATCTTTTTTCTGATTTTCTGTGAGATGGACACTGATCCTGGTTTCCTCAAAACTTTTTTTGTCTCCTACTTTCACTGTCTCAGTCTCCTCGAAGTTCGACTTCTCTTGATTCTCGAACTGTTTTAATTCTTCTGCGAGGTGATCCGGAACCATGGTCTCTTCATCATATTCCTCTAACTCATTCTCATCTATCTCATTTTTCTCACTCAGCTCATAACATGACATGATATTGGCAGGTTTTAAGTTATTTTTACTGAAATAATAAATAAGCTATGTCAGATAAAAACAATTAAAAAAAATATTAGTAAGTTGTAAATAAATAGATTTAAGCAATATACGATGCTTTAATTTTGATAAAAAGAAAGTACATACTTTGGCCATGACCATAGGTGAATTTTCTATATAAAACATCATGAGGGAAATTAAAACTTAAAGAGGTAAAACAGCATAAAGGGTGGGTCTCAAGCCTCATTTATACTACCATCGATTTTAGAAATAAGCAAAATAGATATGTCTTTGTCTACCAAGGCAAGCGAGGAACTAGGAGTTGTGTGGATGTCCAATCAGGTACTCGTTCCTCTGGTTTGCATCTCGAATTCCAGATGTCTCGATCATCTCCTTAAGTACAACATCAGATTCTTCAAAAAGATTCCTGATTCTCGCCTTGAGACCATTATCATTGTTATATTCTTTCACAGGAAAAGATTGGTACAAGTGAGGTACCGGTTTTGGTAATTCCAATCAACCACCTTTTTACCCAAAGCTTCTATCTCATCATATGCTATTGGGATGTATCCCAAGCCAAACCTTGAACCTTTTGTGAATATTTGGATAGGCTCAGTGATTCCTTGCAAATGTTTTCCCAACCCAAAACCAGGTTCAAATCCACTTCTCAACATTAATGAGGCTATCATCTTGTAAACGGAAGGCATAAGAGAATGTAAAGACAAATCATTACCGGTAGCATTCACTATCTCCACTTTATAGAAATTAAACCTCTAGTCACATTATCGACTATCGGGGAATAGTCATTCGTATGTCTTCTTTCACCATGAATGACTACTTCATCAGCTGGTGAAGGGTAGAGGGAACAAACCCATCCATATGGATCCATGGTCTTCTGAGTAAAAAATTGTAGCTAGTAGTGATGTCCATCACCTGGAACTCGACAATGAAATCTGTAGGTCCTACCTTAATACCCAAACTAACAGCGCCCAATGTTTCTCTTTGACCTTTGTCGAAGGCTCTCACATTGGCTTGGTTCTGATGAATCTTCCCATTATAAAAATTCAGTTGCTTGAGGGTCGAAAATGGGCAAATATTAAGGCTAAATCCGTCATCTATCAAAAAACGGTTCAAAATCTTGTCTCGACACTTGATTTTGATGTGCAAAGCTTTCTTATGCATTACCCTTTCACAAGGCAACTCTTCATCGCTAAAACTAACACGATGACTTCCGATGACTTTGCTTACCATTGCTGCAAGATTATCACTGTTAGTCCACGCCAATACATGAGTATCATTCAAAGCTTTTAACAAAGCATAACTATGCTATTGTGAACTCATCAATAATTCCCACACAAAAATTTGAGCAGGGGCCTTCTCCAAATGTTTCACAATGGAATACTCTTTAGGTTGCATTCTTCGCCAAAATTCCTCGGCTTCAGCTTCACTGATTGGCCCTTTCTGGTGTTTATTCTTGTTGCCTCCTTGAGCCAATTCCTCTAGTGTGTAACATCTACCAGATCTAGTCAAATTATTGGCGGTAGCAGTATCGATCACAAACTCTTTCTTGGTAAGGCCTTCCTTTGGAACTGAAGTAAGATCCTGATGAGGTGCCATTATCACAAATTCTTTCTCAGCAAGGCACTTTTTTGTCCCGAAACAAAATCTTGATGGGTTGTTGTTATCACAAATTCGGGTTTCTTACTTATGCCTAGTGAGGCTACCACCTTCTCAAGACTGTCAATATTTGATGGGACTATCGTCTTAGCTGCATCCCAATCCTCTCTGTTTCTATCATATTAATAGTACCTCCCTTGTGATTTGGTAGAGGATTACGATATACATTAGGAGAGACAATCTGAAGGATGACCACTTATTGATCAATTAAGTCCTAAATCTTATGCTTCAGATAGATGTGATCTTCGGTGGTATGTCCTGCACTATTAGAGTGGTATGTACATATCTGATCAGCTCTAAAGAATTTAGAGTTTGTGTTGACAGGTTTAGGTTCAATGGGATGAATCATGCCAACAACTTTCAATCTTTCGAACAACTTGGTTCGACTATTAGTGAGAGGAGTGAAAATGCTGGGAGGTTTCCGTTCAATGTTTGAACGAGGAAGTTCATAGGTATCTTGTGGAGGTGGAGGTACCTGGCGGTAATTTAAGGATTTTGGCGAGGCGGTATTGGTGTTTGGAATTTTAGGTACGGTTGAGTTTGGTAATTTGATTGTGGAGTTTGGTAGTTTGGAGGGGTATTTTGGTAATGTGGAGCTGTGAGATTAAGAGGGGGAATTTGAAAATATGATTGGACATAGAAGATTGGGTAGGGATTTTGTGGAGCTGGGGGATAGACCTTGGAGGGTGAAGACTTTCTAGAGCTAAACCCAAAAGACCTTTTTGCCATTCCATCAGACGCATGAGAAATAAAGTACACATCCTCTCTTTTCTTTCTCAATAGTTCCGAAGATCCATCTTGGGATGACACATGGGAAATCTTTCCGGTAGTAAGACCATCTTCGATAGTTTCACCTACTTTGACTATCTCAACAAATTTTGCTCGAATGAGCAGCATCATTCGATCATAGTATTTTTGCTCTTAGATGCACATAAATACTTCAGTGATCTCTTTTTCAGACATGGGAGGTTGAACTCTGGCAGCCTCTTTTCTCCACCTGTATGCATATTTACAATAGCTTTCGGTGGATTTTTAACTAATTTTTTCAAAAGAGTATCGATCTGGAATGATCTCTACATTATAAGCAAATCTTTCAATAAAATCTTTGGCTAAAGCATTCCAACTAGACCATTGCTTCATGTCTTCGGAGGCGAACCATTCCAAGGCCTCCCCATTCAATCTTCGACTAAAGAGCCGCATCAACAAAGCTTCATTTTCCTCAACTCCTACAAGTTGGTCACAATACGCCTTTAAGTGAGCTAAGGGGTTCCCAGTTAGTCCAAAAGTATCAAATTTTTGTACCTTAAACCCCTCGAGGAGGTCCAAGTTTGGGTGGATACACAAGTCTTCGTAGTAAAGTCCCATAACATCCAGGGTGTAATAAAGTTCTTTTATAGCTTTCATAATTTCTTCCTTATGTTCTTCTTATTCATCTCCTCTTTGACTCTCCACTACTTTTCCTTTTCCTCGTTGTGATCGTGTTCAGGATATGTAGTGTAGGGAACATGTGGTTCTGGGAGG